TGTGTGTGTGTGTGTGTGTGTCTGTGTGTGTGTGTGTGTGTGTGTGTGTGTGTGTGTGTGTGTGTGTGTGTGTGTGTGTGTGTGTGTGTGTGTGTAAACTGCTCCGTCAGCTCGTAGAGCGGCTGATGAAGAAGCAGAGCTGCTGAACTCCGCTCCTTCATCAGCAGCAGCAGAGCGACGCCTGAACACACGTCTCTAGAATAATAACAAGAAACTGCGACAAGAAAACAAAAAGGGATTATGGGTAGGGAAGCTGGATCTGGATCCCCGTGCTCGGAGATCTGGACTTTGTTTGCTCTAAATTCTCGGAAAAGAAAAAAAGCAGCCGTCCCGTCATTTTCTCTTAATAATCATTCAGCTGAGTTTTTAGGCTGAAACAAGTGCGAACGTCTGAAACGCTGCCGCTGGGTCCTCTACTAAAGCTGCAACATGCAACTTCACCACTAGATGTCACTAAATTCTACACACGGAACCTTTAATCAGTCATCATCACGTGAACCAAACTTTAAGATGAACCGATTTTTTTTTACGTAACAGTAGCTTCATTTATTATCGTACATATGCAGATTTAAAGATTGGTGTGTTTTCTTCCCACAGGTGACGACATTGACCTTAAGTTGCGTAATTGTTAAGCTCAGTCTGGCATCTGAAGTTCCTGTCACGCCCAAGTGCTGAGTGTAAGCGAGTCACGGTGAAAGCAAAAGGACTGAAATAGAAACAAATGTCATGAAAGTTGAATTAAAGGGACGTTATTGTTTCTGCCTCACAAAGATCTGTCGCTCTCAGGTTCGAAACACAAACAGGAGCGAACTGAACTTTGGTCAAATCTCATGAAACAACAAGTGGAGTTTTTGTAAAAGCAAAATTGAAGCACATTGTTGTGTTGGCAGCTGATCGACGATCGGGGTTGATATTTAAAATGTCTCCTCACATATTCTATCATTGCAGACGATAACTCATCCAGTCGCTTGTCATCGCTGCTCCCTTCGTCTCTAAAAGACTTTTTCTTATGTGTAAATACTTTGACACACTTTTCCATTGTGTTCATCAAAGATATAAATATGTGGCTCTCTGAGGTTCATCAGGGGTTTTGTGGTTTTTCTCTTGTTGAGGGTGAAGAACAGAGGATGTCGCACCTTGTTCTGATCTAAGAGACAAATACAATTTGATTGATTCATTGAAATTCAATTAAACTTTTTAAAAAAAAAGGTGTTTCCCCCTCTCACCTACATGCGGCCAGGTGAGTCCAATAAACTCAGATTTGAGAGGAAATGTGAAGTCACGTGTGAGCCGAATTGAATTGTGTTTCCAGCTGATTCAAGATAAATCATTTGTAAAAGTTTAGGTTATAGTTATCGGCGTGAAAACCCGAATTGAACATTAAAACGCCGGTTGTGCGAAGGTGAGTCCGGTGTGCGGGCGGTGTTGTGGCGCTCGAACGTGCCACTTGAACCACACGACCGAACCCCGTGGTGCTCAGACCGTCGATCATCTGGATCTGGGGGCTCCAGAAGCTGCCATCTTGGCTCTTCTGGACCAGACCCAGGAGGACTCACCTATGGAGACCAGCTTGATGTTCTCCTTGTCCAGGAACTCCAGAGCCAGCGACACGTTCTCCAGCTTCATCTGCCTGAAGTTGGGCCTCGGGTGGTACTTTCGGAACATCTTCTTGTGGCTCAGCACCTCCAGCAGCGCGATGAGCCTCAGCCCGTCCCCCAGGTCCAGCTGCAGGTCCACGATCCGCTTGTTGACGCACTTGAGGTGCTCGTTGATCCAGCGGGTGAAGGTGTTCTGCTGGATCTTCTTCCACGGGGCGTCCTCCGCCAGGTCCTTCTCTGTGGCCGGCATCTTCCTCGGGCTCTGCGGGGGTCACCGCCTGCCTGTGGCTCTCTGGAGGGGGTGTGAGGGAGTCTCTCTGGGGAGGGTGTCTCTCAGCGGGGATCGGAGCTTCGTGTTCCCGCAGAGTTTCTGCTCCGAGCCGCTGAAGTTTGAAGTTTCTGAACCGCACGAGCACTGGTGGCTGCTGCTGCTGCCTTCAGGCGCCGCTCCGAAAACTGGGAATGTTCAGCTTCTCCTTGCTTTTCTTTAGGTTTGACTGCGGGGGCGTCACTGATGTTTTAGCGCCGCCCAGTGACCAATTAAAAAATGTTTGTGATGGATTCTGTAATTATATA